AGTAGTATTGCCTTCGCGAATCAGCAGCGTCAACAGTGGTCGTAGTACTTAAGGTGCTGATTGAACCCCAAGACGCAGCACAAATAAGTGTGACCTTTGTTTTTCACACATGCCTGTAAGCAGACACAAGGACACAAGTATGCACGCACCTACTACACATTCAATACAATTTCATTGCTCTCTCTGAAGATGGATAAATCCTTTTAAATGCAGTTTTATTGCACATTTTCGAGCAGTTTTAAGGTCCAAATCATCAAAATCCCTTCGTGGACGTTCCCACTGTCTCGTATAGATGGGAGTAAGATAAAGGGCACTTCACTTTAACTGCATCCTTTTCATCTTGGGTATTCATTGTGCGAAATGGACATCTTCGCATTTTCACTCTCTTGATCAACTACTCCGCTTACTCCAATTATGTGAGATCGTGAATCCATTAAAATCGGTACCTTGAATGAAGCAACGAGATGAGATCACTTCAAGGTATCAACTGCTGCGTTAAATTGTGTTAGCTTCTCCATGTTTAACCGTCGTAACAACCACGGGTAAGCATAGTAATCGTGACTTTTTCTTCCTATTAGATAAATATTTTGAGGGAGAGCATTGTTCAACTTGACCACATTCAAAATGGCTTTTTAAAAAAGATGATGTTCTACACTCACTTGTTTTTCGTCAAAAAGCTCGATTTCCACTACAATTTGGACGTTTTTAATACCTTTTAAGGTGTAAATAATTAAGGTTTATGACATCGCAATTCGTCAACGATTAGACTTTAATTCGATAGCCAATAAACTTTGAACCATTTACCGGTACTTACAAACAAGTTCAAGTTCGTTTAAGTATTTTTAATAGGTCAACAACGCCAAACCACTTCTTCATAAGTCTATTTAAGGAGACTTTCAAACATTTGGGTAGTAAGTAAAACAATCCAAATTAAGTCACCAACATAAGGTGACCCATTATTTCACCAAGACTTTGTCGTTCATTCGTAGAGCCTCTTAAGGAAATATGAACAACCCCAAATTACCATTCCAAAATCTGCCCACCTATTGATGTATCATACATATTGGTGGCAAAGAAGTTCAGAAAGGAAAGTTTCCAAGTCAAATATATGTGACATTCCTAGCAAAAGCAGCATATGCATTTGCGTAATGTAGGCATATCAGCAACGCGATTAATTCGGTACTGCTTCCACCTAATTGGCTGCAAATCAACCAATCATGCTGTGCCAACTCAACCAATAGACTTTCAGGACATCTAAAGAACGAAAGTTGGAACCAAGACAAAAGACATGAACGTTTAATTTCGATATGGATAAACATGAACCACAATTAACAATGATTGTTAAGGCATAATCAAAGGGATGTACACGTTTTTCTTCCGCCTACAAGAGCTGAATTGTTACAAAATGTGCGTATATTAACTTTGCTTGTGCGCCCACATACGTAGCATTCGATCAATCGAAGCAAAGGCATACATTATTAAACTCAAACAAAGAAAGTAAAATGCACATCTCTAAAACACTGAACGCAATGAAGGGAACTGTACTCTGAAAGTTATGTTCGTAGTTCGAAGGTTACCGAACCACTAACAGAAAATGGAGCGTATTTGGCAAGATGTTCGTTAAAAAGTAGTAGCCGTAGCTAAAACCTGACGTCAATTTATAAATACTTCGAATGTTGCACCCACACCAAACACAGTCCTTTCTGTTCTAAAGAAAATCACAAAGGCCGGGCTTAAATTAACTTTTAAATCATTCGATAGCATATATTGTGGTGAGATATTCTTCTGGTAACAAATTGTATAGGAAAAAGTAGAGCATTACTGTGATTGTAATTGATTGGTTGATGCCAATAACAACTGACAAAATTCCTGCCATCGACCAAGATGACCACTCGTAAGAAATAGTAAGTTAAAGTTTTCTATTCACAGCAGACTAATCAAGGCTTATGCTTTAGAGCACCACATCAATCCCATTACAACGTCGATATTTTATGCATGCTTCCAATCACCGAACTGTCTCACTTCAATGCATTCCAGCCATCTTTAAGCGCTAGCTGCAGAATGCCCTTTCGAGAGCAGCAAAAGGCATTGTAAAATCTGTGAATGATGAAGTGTGGATAGACTGACGTGAACAACAAATCGCCAATCTACCCCAGAAGTAGGCGCGTCTAATAGACCAAAATAGCGGACGCAGAGAAGGGGCAGACGAGTCTCTCATTAGTCACCCCTCCCCATGGCAAATGTTAGTCACCACCACCAACGCCGTCGGAAGTGGCAGCAGAAATGGTGCCGGCAATGTGTGTACATACGTATAAAGACATTATCAAATGCACGTGATAGTAACCACGTTCTAGAGGGAGCCAATACTAATCCCAATCCTGCAGCAGACTTTCATTGGTCGGTGCATACGACCCAATCACACTCATGGAGAAAGAAACTTCTGAGAATCAGAGAAGGCAATGACTCTCTTTACCAATGAAAAAAGTGGAACTAAAAAAACTTCAAGTAAGCCGGTACACAAAGGTTTCAAGGCCAATATTGACATAGTTTTAAAATTATAGAACATTGCCTAACGGTTTAAGGATAAAAAATTTGAAAATAACTCCGATTACTTTGAATTATTAATGAGTGAATCTATAATTTGTTAACGCCTTCACCTCTCTGCTCATTACAAATGGGTCAGATTCTTCTTATCGATCAGAAAAAGGACGCAAAAAAAGAGACTCACTGGTTGAGACCCACCATCGGAGGCAGATTGGACGGGAGTAGAAGGAGGTGCCGGGTGTGTTGGTGCAACACCAGTGGGGGGGGCTTTCGAGGGATCATTGCGGTTAAGGATGTCCCTGATCAGAGGCAAACTCTCAGCCAAGTCTCTGTCAGAAGCATTCAATGGCACCCGGCTGACAGATTCGCCAGCTGGCGTCAGGTTCTCTGTAATAGGACAAAGGAAGACATGGGATGGTAGATGAACTGTACTATACAAAACATTTACGCATGAAAATTGTGACTGCGCTACCGAAATGACTAGTCCAAATGAGTCATAGAGGACGCCCCTCCTTTCGTAGCCCACTATGGCTGCACTGCTTTTGGGAGCAGGATGCGTGACCGCGCATCACGTGGTCTTCAGAAGCGTACGTTTTTCTTCCCTCGGTCGACTCACCAACACAATTCTCTCTTCTCTCCCCTTCCTTCACTTCACCATCTTCTCGCCCACGCAGACGAGTCATAAAGTGAAAGCCTGTGCGTACATTTCACAGCTACACCATGCTAGCAACAGTTGTGTGTTGACCAAGGCCCACTAATAGCCACTATGTCATTTGGACGGCTGTTCAAGAAGATGTCAGATGGCGGAAAATGTATATGCATGAGGGGAGAGAAGTGGCAGTCAACATATTGGGTGCCCATGACTTTTTAAGAACGTCAAATGAGAGGAGGAAGAAAGGACGACCCAAACAAAGATATTTGTTTCAATGAAAAGAAACTTGGGATTCGCAGATTCGGCAGACATCTAGAAGTGGCTCATTCAATAATGGTGAAAGTCGAAACAACCAGTTCTAAGAGACTTAACTTTGCCACGATGAGGACATGAAAATGAAAAGGACAGCCCATACTTAATCAATAAAGAAGTATTTCAGTGGATCCAATGGCTCCAAGAATAGCATCATTAAGAGAAACAAAAACTATTCTTATTTGACGTAGAAAACGGTCATTTCAACTAACCGAAATCAATCACGTACTGAAGACCTACCGAATAACCTAAAGGAAATATGCATTCAAGACGAAGTTAAACACAGGCAAGAATGCTTAAGGAGGAAAATAGAAGCGCCCATCCTCCGAATATCCTTCAAAGCCAAGAGCAAGGAAATGAATCAGAATTCGGCGTGCATTTTAGCACTAGCACGCATAGGAGTTGGTTGGGAGAAGAAAAAAGAAGCGCTGCGTCTTGGGGTTTAATCAGCACCTTAAGTACTACGACCACTGTTGACGCTGCTGATTCGCGAAGGCAATACTACT